AACAGCAGCAGTTGAAGCCCCCGTCTGTCCCTGGCAGAGAGATGCATAGTTTCTCTCACCTTCTCCAGGACTGAAGCAGTGTTATCTGAACTTCAATTATGCTATTCTGCTAAATGTCATGGCACAAAGTCAAGGATATAAGTGAATAAAACCCTGTTTTTATGGTGGTTATGTACTGTTGACCTACATTTGGCTTGAATGTCCGCTAGAGTGATCATGAAGGTGTAATTCTACTCTTCTCTGTGAAATAGCTTGTGCTCCGTTGCTTATCCCCTTGTTTTAAGCTCCATTACTTTGGCCCCGTCTTCCTCTCCTCCATCTTCCCGGTCCTCCCAAAGACCGGCTTGAGGTTGTGTCCTAGGCCCCTCCCACAGACTGGGTCGACGTTACGCTGAATGAGCCCCGTTGTCATGTTGTGGCTTGTGGTCCAGCCTGTTTTCGTCCAGTCAGAGGTGTGACCTTAGCGCAGGTGATTATGCAATCAGCTGCCCCCGTTGCCTTTACTAGACGTGGGGATTAGACACAGGGCGTAGGCTTGGGGGGGTCAACATTGGTAGAGACCGTCCCAGAACCTGCCCCCCCACCCCCAAAACACACATGGCTCTCCCTCAGACTTGGTAGAGACATGTCCCTATCGTCCATACCCAAATGTACACCCTTGGGCTTCGGCTAAGACGATCCAGGCTATAATTGAGGTCTCAGTGTTTGCCAGCCATTAATTATGCACAGCCGGAGAAGATGTCCTCTAATTAGAGTTCCCGCTTTGGATGGCGCAGGAGATGCTCTGCCCCTCCAGCAGCACCCCGAGGTGTTTGATTTGCTAATGCCCGCCGCCTTTTGATGTTTATTTCACGGAGAGCGCTTTCGCGGCCCCCGAACGCCAAGCGCCATGGACCGGATCCTCTGCGGCGCTCTCCCCAAGGCAGCGCCCCCGTCGAGACCCTGACAGCGGCGCCGTGCTGATACGAAACCTCCTGCTCCCCCCCCCCCCACCATTGACAGCTCGAAGCGCGGAGCTCGTCCCGTAGGCTGACTGACCCTGAGCTATCATGCTGGGGCCATGAACCCACCACCACCTGGCGCTCCTGCTCATCGGTGTGTCGGAGACACTTGTTCGCTTTCAGGGAACAAAGAGCTTTCGTTCCCCTCGTATTGTATACGTGATTGATAATGTGTCTCTAATGGAATGTCCCTGGTTCTCTCTGTCATTTTTGTTGGTTTTTACATTTAAATAATAGGTTTCATTAATTTTTTCTCCTTATTGAAATATAGCTACCATTTCTCTTTATGGATGTTCTAAATGGCAGCACTTGAAGTACATGCCTTAAAGAACAGCATGTCGGCTAAATTAATTATTTTTTTTATAAGTGTTCTGAAGGACCTGACTATTTCCTTTAAAATAGTAACTGTTTTGGAATAATTTACCTGGGGGGACGGGGGGTGGGTGTGTATGACGCAGCTGCCCCCCAGTTGTGTGTGGGTGTCTCTCTCCACAATCGGCCGTCTGCCTCATATGGACACCAGTGAAACTAAACTGAAAATTACTTTTTAAATATTATTTTTTCATCATCTGTCTTAAAGTGTCAGTTTCGTTATGATAGGCTGTACCAGTTCTTATTAAAAAAAAAAAAAAAAAAAAACTGTTCGCTTACATTTTCATCACGTTTATAATCTCAGAACTCAGTCTCGCTAACTGGTCTCAAGCTTGCAGCTGATTGGTTCAAACTTTCATCACCATGACAACATTGTCACGATTTTTAGGAATTATCATACGGTTCCACGTACATTTACATGGGCAGTAACTCGGAGGGATGATCGTATTTTTATAATAGGCTACTGCCTCAAAAATGTACATTTCAAACACTGAAAATACTTTAAGTTTTAAAGTAATTTAATATTTAAATGTTTGTGTCGTGTATTTAAAAGTTACTGATTAAAACGTGTTTCTATCAGTAACTCGTTTTCTTTTGCGTGGTTCTAGTCTGGAAAAACTGCAGTAAAGTCAGTAATAGTCAGTAAAACTGCAATCTGTGCATCTCACAAGAAAAATAGCCTCAAGCAGAGGACTGAAAGAGTATTTCCATCTTAACTCTTTTTTACGTTTCTTTCACAACAAGAACTGGGTGCGCTGGCTTCCTAAATTTCGTTTAGAAACAAAGGCCTCAATAACCTTTTTAATTGTTTCTATGTATTTTCGGGGCTTTAAGTTTGTTTTTTAATGATAATTAAGCAACAGTGCAAGCAGAGAATAGCAATGAAGGCTGGAATTAAATGTCTGGAGCGGAATGAATAGGAGACGCGTGTGATTATAGTGAGTGTCCATCCTGTTCCGTCTCTCAGGTGCTGAAATGGCATGATTCTCCGGTGCTGTCGATGCCACAGTACTTTCTTTGTGTCTGCTGACAAAAGCCACACTGTCCAATTAATAGCACCTTGCTTTATTGTTCAAACATATTCTTTGATGCCGTCCTCCCCCTTTAAAGCGCTTTTATTCGCCGCGTGACAAAGAGTCGTGTCTGTGCAGTGTCCGCGAGCCGTCGGGTTCTGATCGCGCGCCGCCCCGCCCCGCCCCGCCCCGCCCACTGCACCAGGCTGGCGCTGCGTTCAGTGTCCGCGAGATGCTGCTGAGTAACGTTCCCTTCCCGCACGCGCGTCTGTCGTAGCGGTTAGCGGATCGGCGAGACTCGGTTATGTCGTGAGCTTGAGTGGAGACGGGCAGTTTTTCCCCAAACTGGTTTATCCAGTGCGAACCTCCTACATCTATTTTTTTGTTTGAGGATTAGCCTATTTATATACTTTATTCGACCAACTTGTCTTTTTTCCCCAAAATATTTTACTGCGATAAAACGAGTGGCACACACACACACTGTAGTGCAGTGTTTCTCAAACCAATCCTTGGGAATCCCCAGGCAGTCTACATTTTTGCTACCTCCGTACTTCCAGGGAATTGTGAGAGAGCAAAAACGTGGACCGCTTCGGGGTCCTCGAGGACCTGTTTTGAGAAACACAGCTGTATCACATTGCTGAATATGATCATATTCATTTCCCGAATGTACTCTCTTTTTGTTTTCTTAAGATTGTGAGTTTATCTGAGAGTAAATCTGTAAAGCAAACAAGGACTTAAAATGTTTTCAGTGCTGATGTGCCTTTGGAGATTGTGTTAATTTAATGCATTACACAGATGTGCAAATCATGAGCGTAAGTGATTAAAAATATATATTCACTGGGTGGCTGAAGGTGTCAAAAGCATGACGTCTTGCCTACGTGGGGCTGCTGTCGCTGGGAAGGCGGCAAACGAGGACAAGCCGATCGCCGTAGATGAGTAAACAAGAATGTGATGAAAGGAATGAATGTTCAAGAGGCACTTTGTGTTTTCTACCCAGAGCTTTTCCAAGGCAAACATTATACAGCCAGAGAGTTAAGAGTCTGTAAGCTTGTAATGATGTTTGGTGGGTCTGATCTCAGTATCCTATCTGACGTTAGCGCTGCTGTCAGCATTAGGTGATACGTGCCATCCTGTGTATTAAAGCTTGTTGGCTTTTCTGGACAGGCGTTATCACTATGGCAGAGCAATCCAGTACAAGCCAGTTTGTAGGAATGGTACCTCCGTGAGCAGCTCTGAGAAGTGCAATGCATGATGGGAGGTACCTGGAGTTCTGTTAGGGATCACACACATTAGCTGTGTTTTGCCAAGTGACCTGAATGCTGTTTTGATACCTGCGTCTGCAGGGATGCCGAGTGGGCGTGTGCTATGCACGGAGTCACGCGCGCGTGCTCTGAACCGCGGAGGAACGCCGGCATCCACAGCATCTCCCCTCACCATCACCGAGACCCGCTCCGCTGGGAACTTCCTGCAACCGAAAATAAAAATGTCACCGTGTACGACGTGTACCTCACTGTAGCAGAATCCTGGCTGTGCGGTGATCATGAGTTTAAGGACCAAAAATAACAATTAAATTATGGGTTCACCTGGTTCTACGGCATGTTTGGGTGTCCTCCTTACTGCCTGAATGTAATGTCTAATGCCCAAAAAGGCCCAACATTGACGTGAATTCGCTTTAGCAGGAGATGCAACTGGGAGTTTAACCCACAGAGATTTACTGATTTATTTTTTTTTGTACATTTTCTGTCAGTTCCTTGGTGGGGGTGGGGGTTGGAGGTGGGGTAAGTAGGACACCGCTAACACTTTCCCTTTCCTTTGTGTGATTTTTTTTTTGTGCTGTGGTGAATAACAGACCCTGATAATTGCCCCCGCATTCAGAGTAACTACAGCTGGATTTAAAAAAGAAAAAAGAAAAATGGAAAGGATGTTATTTGTTGGAACCAAGCTGACATATTTATTTATACTTGCCGTGTCTCTCCATCACCTACGTTAATGCGATTTAGAGAAAGTTGTCTCCACTCTTCCAGTCAGACCCGGTGGGGATTCAGAGTTGCATTATTTCTAACATAACAATTTTTTCCCCCACCGTCCTGTCAGGGAGCAGCGAGAACTTGCTGCTGAAGGGGAACGGCGCGTGTTGGACGCGGTGGTGCAGGCAGGCAGCTAGTATGCCAGATTAGCTAACTAACCGGCCGTGTCCCCACCGACCGCTGGTACCAGTGCAACTTTCCATCCCACTCTGAGCTACACTCTGTCTCTTTTAGCTATTTTAATTCTTCGTTTAGTCAACCATTAGCGGAGAAATATTATACATGAATTCAAGGGTTTTTGTTTTTCATTTTAACTAGGAGGAGGTGGTTGAAAGATCCCGACAGCCTGATGAAATCTGGTGACTGCAGCAGAGAGCTTAGCTTGCTGTCAGAAAGTTTCAGGACGAAGTGAGGGAGTGGGTCTTGTGATCGTGCGGAATGCTCGCTGCCTCAGCAGTTGTGCTGTTCTTCATCCATCATGTTTAGACCTATAGACCTACTGGACCGGTAGTGGTTTGGCACGGTTCTCTCACTGTGCGCCTCCAGATTGTTTCAGATCTGTTGTCCCACCCCCGTTGCCTCTGCAGGACCCCCGGAGCAAGCACAAGTTCAAGATCCACACCTACGGCAGCCCGACGTTCTGCGACCATTGCGGCTCGCTGCTCTACGGGCTCATCCACCAGGGCATGAAATGCGAACGTGAGTGAGGCTCCGCCATCGCAGCCGGCGAAGTTCAGAGCTGCGTTTTCGCTCACGCAACACATTTCCCGATAGATGTGAACAAAGTTGCGCTTGGAGTCTGTCACTTTGATCAGAGTTCTTTGAGCAGGATTTCCTCTGTCTCCTGTCAGCGTTTTCATCATCAGAGCCGCACCTACAACGCAGACACAGACCTCCCTTTGACACATTGGAAATGTTGCGACGAATATGGGTATGAATAACATGACTCAAAATCGAGGGAACGGGTTCAAATTTTTCGACTGGGGTCCCTTTAAGGTGGATTCTTCCAGCATAGCCTTTTCAGGTAGATGTTTGAGAAAAGAACCAGAAATAACCCAAGATGCTTTAAAACCCTTTCATACCGCTGGCTGCCAGTCAGCAAATTTCAGCCTTTAGTATTCTGGCGTGGGCATGTAGGTGAACTCTAGCTACCTCTGCCAGGCCATGAATAATTTATAACTGTTGTAAGTAGCTGGTAAGTTGATATCAAGACGCCAACATGTGTTATGCAAGAGCTTCAGGTCATGACCAGATTATTAGTGTTGCACTGGTCGAGGGTCTGGAGCACGCCGTCGTAATGTGGCCCAACAGGATCCACATCTGATCTGCATCCCTTCCTGCCTGAGGCTTGCCATCAGATGTGTGCCAGACACTTGCCAGATGCACTTCGTCATGAAACAGCAGCCTGAAATCCTAACAGTGTGTTTCTGGACGTTCTTCCGGATTAACAGCTCATGCAGTTCTGATGAAATTATGCATATCAGGAACCCAAGTGAAGCTGTTAATTACACAAATAACAGATGAGGACAAACAAAAGCTATTACAACCTGACAGCCGTTAATGACTCGGACTCTGTGCTCTGACTCACGCAGTGCCCCGCGCTCTGACTCACGCAATCTACGCCCTCCATCTCAAGCTTGACCAAGCACTCAGAAATGGGGGGAGGGGCTTCTAACCATTTTCCGATCCCAGGGTTGGGATGGGGAGTTGGTAGGACATTGGTTCACACCCTGGTTACGGGACCACATTTCATACAGGATGCACAGGTTTTGTAGACAGGATGGTTCCATGACCGAGAACTGGCACCTTGGTGATGTTAGCAGCCCCAGAGATCCAGGGGCAGATGCTGTCACCGCGACTGAAATGCACCAGGCTCGTTTACTGCACACAGGGGGGTCGAGGGGGATCTTCTGCCAGCTCAGCTGCCATGGCACTGACTGGGCACGGGGCGCCGCGGCGTTCCTGACTGTCGCTTTATCGCCGTGAGGTGGTATCTGCAGGTTTTCTCTCCTCCAGGGCGGATGCTTAATAAACGTCTTGTTTTGCCGGAGGGTGTTTTTTGGAACAGAGCACCATGGGTAGGCAGAAAGAACAGAAGTACCACCAGTAATTACCTCTAATTATCAGTACAGGAGATGCTCTTTAAAAATGACAATAAGCATTTATACGACCCTGTGAAAGGCCTGTCATAATCGAGCGTTTGTGTCTGTCTGTCTGTGTCCTGCTTCCGCACAGCCTGCGACATGAACGTGCACAAGCAGTGCGTGACCAACGTGCCCAGCCTGTGTGGGACGGACCACACGGAGCGACGGGGGCGGCTCTTCCTCAAGGCGGAGGTCAGCGGCGACAAGCTGCATGTGACAGGTGGGCAGGGCCACCCGGCGCTGGTCGCCATGGGCATCTCGTGGGCGTGGTGGTCTGTCAGGGAGCTGCAGGTTGCTGCTGACCTGAAGCTATGGAACGTGAACCTCGGACACATCACTCTAATTGGGTCTATGTCATGTCAGCGCTGGTCAGCAGTGAAAGAAATTCCTAATTCCCCAACACAAGCCTGCTTGACGCATGCATGCGTGTGTTTGTGTGAGTGAGAGAGTGATAGATGTAAAATAAGGATGTGTGTCTTCTCAACAAAAGACGTCACGCGGCGTGTGGAGAAAACCCAGCATATAAACTTGCCGTAGCTAATGTGGAACAAGCTCATTAATCAGATTAATCAGCTAACACTCAGCGAGGCCGTTAATCAGAATACCCCAGAGTTCTAAGGCAAGTCCTCTCAGGGATGCCTGCACTGATGTTACTGAGGAGGGATTCTGGGTAAGTGGGGTTGCGTGACAATATGCCGTGTGTGATTACATTAATCAAAAGGTCTATCAGGGGGTGTTTGCTGAGAGCTGACCCGAAAGAACGTGTGGCACTGAGGATTAGCTGTTTGCAGTGAAATCCCTTCTACGGTGTCCCTCTGTCTGGTGCCCTATGCTTACTGGGAATGGCTCCAAGATCACCATGGTCCTGTGCTGGATAAGCAGTTCTGCGTGATGGATGAACTGTAAGAAAAACTAGCAGTTGAGTGTTGGACTTGCCAGGTTCTGTGTTAGACTCTGCGCTGTAGAGTCCTAATTATATTCACTGAAGAAATGTCCTCGTGGCATTTTCTCATGAACCACAGAATTTTTGTTATCCCCAGTGTAAAATATACATTTTCCATGCGCGTTTCACTAAAGCTTTATGTGAGCAGACATCATCTGACTCTGCTCATTACTTGAAAATAGAAAGTGAATTTAACCTGCAATTACAGCCAGAGAGTTGGTAATTGGTTTGCTTATTCATTTTTAACCCATTAAACCATACGGTCAAAGCCACGCTCCTGTAGCTGAGTGACTGCACTTGCACAAATGCACATGCATTTACATGTAACAATTTTATTGTCCTGTAAATAGCCTGTAGGGTTTGCAGACTACCCCAACTACTGACGTAGCTAATTTTGTGTTTATAATGGAATAATATAGATCTGCCTTAAGGTTTCTTGCGTAAGCGTGAAAATCTTAAAGCGTGAGTGTCACGCAAGATGCGGGAGAGTTGGCATTCTTGACAAAATACACTGAATAGCAGCTATGCGGAAAATGAGAAATATTCACGTTGTTAAGGCGATGTCCCCCAGTCCCGAGGCTTGTGTTTGAGGAATAATTAACGAGGTGACCGTTTCACTGCGTGGCTTTGTGAGCCGTAGCGGGGGGAGGAGGGTAAAAATCGTGATGTCCGACGAATCGTTCTTTTGAACCGGTGTTCTGACAAAACGTCCTACTTTATCAAAACATCCTACCGCAGTGCTAATCGATAGCCCTAACCCTAACTCTTACCCTAACCCTAACCCCCCAAAAACCCCTAAAACTCTTACCTTAACCCTAACCCCTAAAACCTTACCCTAATCCCAAGACGGTGGAACTGCACATGCGCAGAAAGGCTCGATAGCACGTCTCGATAGGTAGGATGTTTTGTCAGAACACTTGTTCTTTTCAGTCAATCGGTTTAACCGACTTTCAAATCTAAAAGAATCGACCTTCCTGTAATTCCACGTGTTGTACAGGTACACATCGTAGATTCTAAAAATCTAAAAGTATTTGACAAATTAACAAATAAACACACATAGCGACCTTGTTAAATTCACTTACATTTGTTTTTCGTAGACTGTCAATAGCCATGTGCGTTCCCCCCCCCATTACGTAATCAATTGTATTTTGTGCTATGCATATGCCCGGCCACATGGTGGCAGTGGCTCACTAACTTCCAACGTCAGCCAGTTCGGCACATTCGGTTGAAATGGTTCACTTTGGATCTCCGACTTATTCGGTGTTTTAGCAAGTTTGTTTGAGAGCTTTCTCAGCAAATCTTATGAGACCCAAAATTCACAGAGTGACCAGTTCTGATTTTGTTGAAAGTCTGCTTGAGAGTTAAGAGATCCAGTTAGTAAATATGCATTTGCCAACAGCAAAAAGGTACTCGAGATTTTATCTGGCTTTTGGAGGCGGACTGTTCGTTTATACTGTATGTAACACACTAATTTGACTAAAGCCTACTTACGTGATTGTTTATCATTTGAATTAGACAGGAAGTGATCGATATACAATCAAGAGAGCTACCGATATTTTAATAAAAACATGATTTTAATAAACATGCCGTTTCAATAAACGTAATGGAACAAAGTGCAGCAGCGCGTACTGCCTCCCCCCAAAACCGATTCATTGAATCGAACGGTTTGGTAAAATCGGTTCTGTATATTGAACCGAACTTCCCATCACTAGTAAGAAATGCTTTTTCGCAAAATGAAAACGAAGAGAAAATCTAATTCCTTAGGCAGGAGTACGGGACAGCTGATTGGTGCAGAGATTCAAAGGTCCCGCCCACTCCGCAAGTGATTGACGTGTCAGTGGCGACTGACTCAGGCTCGGTAATTGGCGAATTCCACTTCGGAAGCGAGTGAGTAATTCGCGGCCAGAGAACACGCGGATAATTAGACGAGATGAATCTCTGTGACCCCGCTGCTGGGCGCGCAGGGAGTACGCGTTTCAGAAAAATGAACGACAACAGAAAATATCACAGCGTAAAATTCCAGCGTGTTTCATTATTTATTACACATGAGACAAGGTCACGTTTCCGAAGAATACGTCTTGAGTCAAAGTTTTCAATGGAGTGATTCATTAATGATGTGATGTTATATGTCTTACAATTACATTACTAGAAATGCCAACTAAATATAATCTAATGGACTCCTGGCTCAGCAAACAACTGTACTCTTAATTGTATGTGATAACTCACCGTACTTATAATTTCTTTTTATCCGAAGCGGCTTTGAATTAAATGAAAAACGTCTTAAATTTACTGGTGGCTCGAAGGCTACATGTTCAAATCCCAGAAATTTCCACTATTGTGATAAGTGAGCGGAGAATTACTTCAGCAAAAGAGCTAAATTGCAGCAATTAAGCAATGAAGTCTAAAGCAATATTTTGTTCCTCCAATGTTTTTTTTGTAATTGGCTGAAAGAAATTTCTTTGAATGAGAGCCAGATCAGAAAACTATTTTGTCGTCTCAAGCCAAATCTTTGGAAACGAAGGGAGGGGCTCTCTCAGACCTTGTATCTAAGCAACGGTTGTGGGGAGAAAATTCTTGTTTTTTTTTTCCCCAGATCGCACTGTGGGATGATATTGACTGGAGTGCATTGGGAGGGGACTGATTGGGAGCCCACACCGAATGATTCCCACATGGCGATAACAAAAGGCCGAACGAAAATGTACTCATTCACATGATGTTGGATTTGAAATTCAACGTTTGGAGCAAAAAGGAACGACTGGTCAGAGGACCCTTGCAGCTGCATTAGCATTACCTGTTGGCCTCAGGGATGCCGTTTGGTTTAGTCGAGTTAGCACCATGCAATATATGGATCCCTGAGTAATGTTGCAGTACCTTAGCCGAAAAACCACTCTGCCCGGGGATATGGCAAAAAACCTGCTGTAGCCACAGCAAAGGCAACGGGCTCCCTCTACTGGTAATGGCCGTTACTACAAGTAAATGCTACGAGAGAAACACTACATTGGGAATCTTGAGACAATAACGTTGGACTGTGAGCTGTAAATGCCATCCATCCATCCAGTTATCTTGATTAAGGCTAGGTGAGCCTGGAGCTTATCCCAAGCGACACAGGGCACAAGACAAGGTACACCCTGGGCAGGATGCCAGTTCATTGCAGCGCACGGGGCAGGGTACACCCTGAGCAGGATGCCCTTTCAATTTATATTTAACATAGGATGTTGTTTTTTTTTTTTATCTGAGAGTGTCTTCGTTTTATAAGGGTTGCAATACTCTGTTTAATCTGTAACATATTTATTAAAAATAAATGACATAGGGTGCACAGCAGCAAGTAACACTTAGGGACGCTTAATTGTGGTTATTTTCTTTCTTGTGAAGTGGGAGAGGCCAGGAATCTCATTCCCATGGATCCAAACGGGCTGTCGGACCCCTACGTCAAGCTAAAGCTCATTCCTGACCCCAAGAACGAGACCAAGCAGAAGACCAGAACGATCCGCTCCTCACTGAACCCCACCTGGAACGAATCCTTCACCTTGTGAGTGGGCGTGTCCTGTGATGGCTAGTGGGTGTGGCCTCTGATGGCTAGTGGGCGTGGCCTCCGAGGGCCATGATCCACCTGTAAAAGAAGAAACATGTATGGAGTGCTGCAACCGCTGGCAGGCCCTAGAGGCCTAAGAGAACCACCGTGTTTTTAATGCAGAATATAATAATTGTGTTATGACAGGCTTATTTCTCATTAATTAAAAATTCTCTAGTTCCACTGCAATAATAATGATTAAGGATTTTGTGTGTGTGTGTGTGTGTGTGTGTGTGTGTGCGCGCACCTGCAGCAAGCTGAAGCCCTCTGATAAGGAACGCCGCCTGTCTGTGGAAGTGTGGGACTGGGACCGGACCACCAGGAACGACTTCATGGGCTCAATGTCCTTTGGCGTGTCGGAGCTCGTCAAATCTCCCGTGTGCGGCTGGTGAGCCTAACACCCAGGATGACACCATGCCCTAATTAATGACATCATCTCTTTCCACACTTGCTTCTATTTATGAACAGTAGTTTACAAAATTTCTACTGAAATTTACTAAATATTCATATTGAATCATGACCAGATTTTTAAAAATATAACTCCACCACCTGTAGTAATGGTGGTCTTCATCCCCAAAGTTAGAAAGTTTTTTCGTCAGCTGACTACTATGTTATCAATTTCTTGTTCTAGGTTCTCTGTCGAATTTAGTATTCATGAGTGGATGTTTCTCTGCGGCCTTTTCGGGAGGGAGCCCTTGAGGTGTGGAGAGTGATCTCTCAAGGTGTCTGCTTGTGGGATGTGGAGAGCGATCTTTGAGGGTCTTGGCCTGTGGGATGTGGAAAGTGATCTCTGAGGGTCTTGGCCTGTGGGATGTGGAGAGTGATTTCAGGGTCTTTGCCTGAAGGATGTGGAGAATGATCTCCGAGGGTCTGAGGGATGTGGATGGTGATCACTTTATAATGAGAGTGTAGCTGAGCCCAGGGGCCTTCATAAGCACATTTCCCAGCTTAGGCGCAAAACGCCTCAGCAAATGATGTGAAGCCTTTGTTTGGTGATGATAGTCTAGCATATTGGTTTTTGGAGAGCAGAGTAGTGCTTGGATCGCTGAATAGAAATATTTGGATTTGGTAAAAGAAGAGTCTGCTGGGGACAGAAGAAGTAAGTGAAATAAATGGAAAGCATTTCCCCTGTTCTGGTACTAGACTTCTAGCTCCTTGTCTCATTGGTTCGTAAGCTGTCCTATCACAGAGCTAATTAGGAGTGTGGCCCTTTTCTCATTGGCTTTTAAGTTATCCAGTCATTAAGCTAACAGTTAAGGTACACCCTACATGGGTAGTGAGTTTTCCATTAGTCTGTTCATCCTGTTTGTGTATGCAGTGAGCTGACTGCAGATACATGTTTTAAATAGACACACTGTCCAGCTCTAAACTCTAAACCTTGATTTTAGTTATTTCAGACTTACCAATTGCCAATTTTATGGCATCGTGGAAACCTCGCACGCATAATCTCAGGAGGAGCATGACGAATTGGTTTGAAGCAGTCAGCTTTGCATCTTAGCCAAGGAGTAAAGCAGCATGAATGAAGGTGACAGTGCAAACGAAACACTAACTGTCTGTGCCTCAGGTACAAGATGCTGAACCAGGAGGAGGGAGAGTACTACAACGTACCCATCCCGGATGTGAGCGGCGGGAACCTCGAGCTGAAGCAGAAGTTTGAGGTGAGAATCTCCTCCCCTGTGTGGCACCTGAAGAGAGACAGATGTTGCAGTGTCTTGTTGATTTTTAGGTTTTGCTGTGAATTTTCTGTCACCTGTAATTTCTTATAGGTGTCACAAATCACCTTTTTTGACACTACGTAATATAGCATGATGTATTTTTGTTTTTATAAGTAACGGGCACTTGTACCTCGTGTGTTGGTTGCTGGTGATTTGCGCTACAAATTTCCGTCCCAGAATTCTGAGTGGCAGAATCTGTGTCAAATGTCACACGGGAACTTCCCGTATCGTGAGAACTAGGGACGTTTCCCGCCTTGATGTTTGTAGGTGGGGTTACCATTAAGCAAAGAACCCAAATAGGTCCTTCAGAGTTCCTGGCACCAGAATAGTTGACTGAATCGTGATCAGAGCACATAAAACAGAGCAATGCCGTGAACTTGAGCCCATGGTTTGGGGCTGGGGGTCTGATATTCCTTTCCCCCTCAAAGATACCACCTGCTCATCTACACATCAGCTGCTTTGCCAGTTTATTAATATTTTCACCTCAGCGCTCACCGGATGTCCATGCGATATCGATGTGTCGTGCCATTCAGGGAATGCCTTTGTAACCATGGGAACCAGACTGTGTGAACGCCGACGGAATATATTAATGACCGACGGGACACGGGAAGCCCTATGCTGTCACAGGCGCCGCGGGTGTAACGTCCCTGAACCAGAAGTGATAGGTCTCTCTTCAGTGCACATGGGCCGTGACGTGTCTACTGTACATGTGACACGTGTGTCCCTCTTCCCTGCAGCCCCTGCTGGTGTCCTGCTTTCCTCTACATGTCCCTAACCCTCCAGTTTCTCTCTCTGTCTCTTTTAGGCATGCCAAAACACTCTCCAGTTCCTCAAGGTAGCAGTGTCTATCAATCCCCCGGTCACTCTCTCTATCATCCTCCCCACTCTATCTGTTTCCATCTCTCTCTAGCTCTTCTTCCTTCTGTCTACAAAGTCTCGCCTTAGTTTTCCTGCCTCATTCCAGGGGTTCCTCTTTCCTGTCTTCTAATTCATCTCTTCCTGTCTGTTGTTCCTCCTCCTCCTGTTTGTTTAATGTCTCTCATCGTGGTTCCTGGCTACAGCCAGCTGAACCATTCTGCAAACGAGCAGCTTAACTTGGATAAAGCCTTCAAATTTCTTGCATCTCAATGACACTCAGACTGACTGTAGATCAACTATAGGAAAGTTGTGCGTGTGCACGTGAAAACTTGCAGGCACGTGCACACTCACAGACGGGCATGTGCACCAGCACCCACTGGTGTATCCAGGTAACAGAAGCACAATGTGCATGGTTTTTTATGGCCCTCAGGGGCCTGTGCTCCTCAGAGGCGTGGCCTGTGCTCCAGGGGGTGTGGCCTGTGCTCCTGGGAGGTGTGGCATGTTCTCCAGGGGGTGTGGCATGTCCCCTTGGGGGCATTACCCATAATTCTGAGGAGCGTCCATGTTGGTGCCATGTCTTGAGCTTCTATAAGTCCATTGCAAGTCTGGACTATAGAATGCCATGTGTTCAGTCCCAGAATGCCTTAACTTGATTGCTTTGAGTGACCACCTTAACAAATAGATGCTGTGCGTGGGTTGGGTTTAGAGAATGAAGAACCAACTAGTACCGGAATTGACCAAAGGAAAGAGAACTTAGAACAGCTTAGGGTACAACAACTTTTGCTCTCTTTATCGGTAGTGGTTATAGAGTGTCCACAAGGAGGCAGCACTAGGCTGAGATTCGTCTCACTAATCCACTAGACCCACAAAAATTTGCATTGACCAAATAATGAGTCACGCTCAAGAAGTATCAGTAACTGTCTTTTAGTACCGCTGGTGATGTCATCACTGACCCGGTGCCCTTTAATTCAATCCCCTGAAACATCCGCAATGAGACTGAGACCAGGAGTAAAGAGTTTGGCTTGACTGGCCTTGGCACTTTCAGAGAGGCTCTTTCTGTCTGGTGTCACGCGTCTGTAATGAAAAAAAATGGGTGGGGGGGCGTTTTAGAATGTCTGTGAGGCTGCGTGGCGGCAGCGTGAGAGCAGCGGCTGCTGGGGAGGGGGGCCCAGATGCCAGTTAGGGGGAGTCAGTAACGATGTTTTAAATTATCGCGCTGCTTTCCGCCAGTAGCTGTCACCCTGCATCCTCTGTACAGTTAGCATCCCAGCTTTAGCGTTTTTTTTAACGGTTCTGTTTGTCCCTCTCGCCTTTTCTCCCGCGTGAGTCTGTTTTACGGTCTCCGCTCCACACAGTGCGAACGTGCCAAGCGCTCTTGTCTTTGGACGCGGACAAACAGGTTTTTACGCTTGGCTGATTGGCGGCTTCGCGGTTTACGCTCTCCGTTACCGCCGTGTCGGCCCGTTTGCCGGCTGCTCCGCCGGGTTTCTGGCTATGACGCATAGCGGGTGCGCCGCGCGGTTCCTGGCCGAGGGGCCGTAATTGGTGCTTTCGGCCCGGGAGGCGCGCTTGTTTGTGTGTCAGTCACATTCGACTGCTGCCTCTGCCCTCCTTTACATGTGCGATCCCAGCCCAAGCTAATTGGCTCCCCTGAGAGAGAGAGAGAGCCCTCCGATGACGGGTCCGGGCAGGAAGGAGGTGCCTCTGGTCAGCCAGCTGTCCTGCTTGTTATGCACTTTATTTATAATTCATGACGGTATTATGATTATTGATTATGTAACCAGAGACAGTGCATGTTCAGGTGATAGAACCAGAGGCCCAGATTCCCTCTAAATTCAGGGGCCCCGCACTTTACAGGGCGTAAAATTACATAAAATTACGTAAAATTTATGCGTAAAATTAAACGTAAATTTGGGTAAGGGTGACACATTGCTAGAGGGTCTAGGATTTCTCTTAGTGTGCTTGTGTACTGCGGCTCAGATATTTGAGAATATGTCCCCACAAAGACAGATATTCCTGAAAAACTGGGCACATCCCCACAAAACAAACACCTTTTTGATAACTTTTGAGTTTTCCTGGTTTATCAGTATTTGCTAGTTTTGCCGGAATGCCCCGAGCAGTACAAAGACGTGAGTTCAGGCCAGTTGACGTCGCTGAGTTGCCTGCAGAGTATGACTGTGCATGTGAGAGAGTGTGTGTGTGTGTGTGTGTGTGTGTGTGGCGTCTCGTCTGGGGCGTCCCCAGCCTTCTGCCCTCGGTTTCCTGGCATACGTTCCAGGCGTCCCGTGAAGCTGACCTGGGGAAGCGGTTAAAAGATGGAAAGTGACTCAAATTAGAGCCGACGAAAAGGTTCTCCAGAGATCCAAGTGCAGACGTGTGTGTGTGAGTTTATTACTTATTACGAGCCGGTGTTGGCGCGTGGGCCACGTGTATCTGACAGTGGTGAGTAAGAGCCAGAGTGCTCACACTAGAACCGTTGCCGTGGTGACCTGTGACGCAGGCTGTCGACAAAGGACAGTGAATGTGGGCAGCAGGGGGCGACAGTCTAGGTTATCTGCCAATCAGATTTCATACAAAGCTAAAGATTCTGTGTAATTGGTTAATACAGTGTTTCCTAATCTGGTCCTTGGGGACTCGCAGACTGGGAGGGAGCAAAAACGTGGACAGTCTTGTAACAAGGTTAACATGTATAAAGATAAGGTTGTCACCCCATTTGGCAAAATCCCTTTGGCGATGGTCTTTACTAAACCTCAAAAGAAGCTTATTCAGGTTATCGGACCTGGTTCTAGAACACATGCGGCACCTTGTGAGAGCTTAAGTCGTGTCCATTCACCTGGGTGTGACTGAATGCCGCTGTTCCATTTCGGGTCCTCGTCCCCGGCCGCTCTCGGGCGGCGTGCCACCGTGCCGTCTCGCTCTGCCTCTCCTGACTCGGGCCTGCCTTCCTCATCACAGAAGGCCAAGCTCGGTCCTGGCAAGAAGATGATCACACCCTTGGAAGACAGGAGGTACAACCAGGCCTACAACAACCTCGACCGCGTCTCCCTCTCCGACTTCCACTTCCTGGCACTGCTGGGGAAGGGTAGCTTTGGCAAGGTAACCCCCCCCCCCCCCCAGCCTGACCCCTCACATCACTCAGACACCCTTCTCATGGTGTTGCTGCAGCTGCACCCGCATTTCTTAAAAAGCCAGACATTTTTGCCCAGGACAAGGTCCACAACGCTGCCACACAAGGGCAAAACACGGTAACTGCACTATTTATCAAAACTGAATTATGACCAAAATCGAGTCTCTTACGCTCTGTTTTATCTCTTGACAAAATTTCATAGATCAGCCATGCTTGGTCTTCAATAAATACTCCCATTTACCTACCAGCTATACACGTGGATGGACAGTCAAAAGACTTTAAAGCCCCTTTATGTCATTTTCCGTGTCGGTGCAGTTACTGTGTTTGTAGGGCAGAATAGCTTAATGGTTCTTATTGACAGGCTGGCTGTCTTGCTGAGCCCATCGTCGTTCTGTCAGCAGCTCAAAGGAACACCAGTAGACTTCAGTGCCGTGTGTGATGGGCGTTTTGTCCCGCTGCCCCGTGCTGGACCCCCTCCTCCCTGCTGTTGGCCCCTGCAGGTCATGTTAGCAGAACTGAAGTCCACAGACGAGCTGTACGCCATCAAGATCCTGAAGAAGGACGTGGTGATCCAGGACGACGATGTGGAGTGTACCATGGTGGAGAAGAGGGTGCTGGCGCTTAGGGACAAGCCACCCTTCCTGACGCATCTGCACTCCTGCTTCCAGACTGTGGTGAGTGTGTACGAGAGAGTGTGCGCGAGAAAGTGCGTGTGAGTGAGCGCTTGCGTCCGTGAGAGTGTGTATGAGTGTGTGTGTTTCAGAGTGTGTGAGAGGCTAACCCATCTTTTGTCCCCTCCAGGACCGTCTGTACTTCGTCATGGAGTACATCAATGGGGGAGACTTGATGTACCACATTCAGCAAGTGGGGAAATTCAAGGAGCCACAGGCTGTGTAAGAGAGCTGCATTCTCCCAGAATCCCCCTCTACATTCTGCGGGGTTATGCCAAACCCACATTGGGGACCGGCCATCCTAAATAATATATGGTTAACATGGTGTTTCCTGCCTGTACTCTTAGTAGACTGTCCCAAAGGAAATGTTTGGATCTGTGTAGATTTGAATTACTTGAGTCCATCCTCTACTCTTCTGTTCAGACAGTCGGTGTGAATCTTGCTTGTTGTTCCAGGTTTTATGCAGCAGAGGTCGCTATTGGGCTGTTTTTCCTACACAGGAAAGGCATCATTTACAGGTAGGCGTGAGATGGGCGCTTTGCCTAGATGATTGTCTCTCAAGGAAGACAACCAGATTCCAAGAAGCACATCTCATTTAGCAGAAAAAAAAACACTTCTGACAAAGTTAGCAGTGGTTGTACTTAAGTGCATATTTTATGCTTACAAACATAACAGAAGCCCTCTTTGGGTGGTGTGGAATGCGCCTGTCACCCTGTCACCCTGTCCCTCCTGTCCCCACACCTCCACCCTGACCCCACTAAGGGACCTGAAGCTGGATAACGTCATGCTCGACTCGGAGGGCCACATAAAGATCGCCGACTTTGGCATGTGCAAGGAGAACGTCTACGAAGGGGTCATGACGCGGACCTTCTGTGGAACCCCGGATTACATCGCCCCCGAGGTGCGCAGCCTGCTCCCGCTGCCGAGAGTCTGGGGGGCGCTGTGGTACACCTGCAGTGCAGAGTCTCCTGGGCCTTGTGTCAACTGCTAGCAGATGACTGAAGGCTCCTTACCTAGTCCCGAGTGTGAAAATCACGCTCACGCACTTACATACCCCTTCCTGCTCTGTGAGCCCCCTGCTGCCCACACCCCATCTGTAATTGTGCTTCCCCTCGGGGACATGTAAATCACATCTACCAGATGGCCAGAGGTAGCCTGTCCAAGGTCCCAGTACCAAGGGCAAAAGTGACCCCGAGCAGCTACCCTTCAGTTTTCCCAAGAAATGCATTAGTCTGTCTGCAAATCTGTGTTCGGCGTGGGCGTGCGGCTCGTCTGAGTCCTGGGTGAGGCAGCCTGCATGGGCGCTCGCTGCATGTGCTTAGGGGCGTCCAGCGCGTCTGATGAACGGACAGGAAGCCCCATCTCTGTTTGCATGGCTGATGAGGCAGGGACGTCTCTGGTGGGCTGGCAGCTCTCACACATGGTGAAGCGAGAGACCGCACGCTCCCCGGTTAATTCTCTCATCAGGACTGCGCGTTCGCTACATTTTCACAACTTTAGGTGTGTAGGAGGGACACAATCACTTTTTTTTTTCGGTCTAAATTGGCGTACTTAGGAATCACTGTTTTGCCATTGCTAATATTAATTGTTTTTTCAGCCATGCAAAACCAATTTTTTTTAATTGCGGTCCTGCCACCCATTTGGCCCTGTTCTTTCTGCAGCTCCTTAACTGTTAGGCCACCTGCTGGCCAGTACACCGGTTCTCCTGGCTGCAGTACAGGAAGCTGAAGGCTTCACAACAGTAACTACTCAGGCTGTGATGCGTTTAGTCGTCTTGAGATGCAGTCCAGGTCTGTGTCGTTGAGCTGGACTGGCTGAAATTTGCGTCTTATTTATTTCGCAGCCACTTCCATCCAAAGCGAGGTACGTTTTTGGTAATACAGGGTCATTAAAGTAATTGGGAGGCCAACTGTGGTATCACTCTGCTAGCAGTGAGATTTGAACCGGCATCCATCCCACTCAGCCACACAGCGCCCCCTACTGTATGTAACACCTCTGGTGGTGGAGCTGTGTTTTCTGACCTTGTCTCCATGGTGACCCTTGGCAGATCATTGCATACCAGCCCTATGGCCGTTCGGTGGACTGGTGGGCCTACGGCGTGCTGCTGTACGAGATGCTCGCGGGACAGGTAAGCCCCGCCCCCTGGCCCTGCACGCGGCACTGTGACGACAGTCGTCTACTCCGGTGTTTCCCAATCCGGTCCTTGGGGATCCGCATTCAGTTCATGTTTTTGCTCCCACCTGGCTCTCTGTAGTACTCATAATAATAATAATAGTGTATTTTATGGGTATAGCAAAAAAATGGTGAGTTAAAAAGAGCAGAGAAATGTGGACTGGCTAAGAGCTGGGAGGGAGCAAAAATGTGGACAGGCTAAGAGCTGGGAGGGAGCAAAAACGTGGACTGGCTGGGAACTTGGAGGGAGCAAAAATGTGGACTGGCTGGGAACTTGGAAGGAGCAAAAACGTGGACTGTCTGGCTGGGAGCTGGGAGGGATCAAAAGCGAGGACTGGCTAGGAGCTGGGAGGGAGCGAAAACATGGACCATCTCTTGGTCCCCGAAGACCGGAGTGGGAAACACTGGCCTTGAATGTAAGATTGTTGTATACCGAGTGGCTTTTTCTGCTTTTGTAGCCCCCCTTTGACGGCGAGGACGAAGACGAGCTCTTCCAGTCCATCATGGAGCACAACGTGTCCTACCCCAAGTCCATGTCCAAAGAAGCTGTATCCATCTGCAAAGGTGTACGTGCTCCTTGCCTCCGCCATGCCTGTACGGCCAGCCGTATTACTTCAAAAGCCTCTGCTTAGCAAGTTCAGGCTAAGTCAAGTTGCCATCTAATCAGTTTAGCCGTCTTGCTTCCTGTTGACTCGGGTTCACCAGACTTTCTGCCCAGTTATCCTGCTTCACTGATTGGTACTTATCAGTGTCCACTCAAGGTATCATGCCCCACAAGTAATCTGTATAAGCGGGTCAGTCTAAAACGAGCGAGAGCGAACAGCACCGACTTACAATTTCACCACTCGGGTAAGAAATCTGCTGGTTCATTTTCATAAGACCGCCGGTGAATCACTGACAATGCCAAACGGGTTTGAATGTAGGTGGTTATCTGAAGGTCCAAGCCAGGCATCGCCCATGGCATTAAGACTCAGTGTTTCGTAAATATTTTCCACTAGATTGTGTTGTGCGGTGTCGCTTTGGGGCTTTTCGAGTGTTTCTCTGTTAGTGGTTTGTAGTTCGGATTTCCTGCTCAGTGCGATATGTCAGTCAGAGATGGAGCAGCTTGTTCATTTTTAGCTTAGATATTGGTGAGTCTTATAACTCTTGTATGGAATACAGTAGCATGGTTTCATATATGTTTATATTAGCCGAGCGCTAAGTTCAGGTTCCATGAAATCTTCAAGGAGCAAAAAGGAACCGAGCAGGATCATTATATAGTAATTATGCCATTATTTCAGGTTGCCAATGATTTTTGGTGATAAATTTGAAAAGATATGAAACATCTTTTGCAAAGGCTGACTGATGAAGCTCGTCTCCTAGCAACAGATTAGCTCGTGTTGCCATGACAGAAATTAGACAGACTACTGAGATTGACTCCAGCAGAAAGAAGTAGGTTTAAGATATTAAACTTTTTATACTTACAATTTTTACGGCCAGTAGTATTAAAATATTAAATATGTGGTGACAGTTTTTAGACAGAGCAATTCACAGAAATCTTGAAATTAATTTTGGATAAAGATGGCTGATTAAATTGCAACGGTCCCTAGTGATATGACCGATATGATTCCACAGTCTGTGCCTGTAGTGTTTCCCAGTGTTCCTACAGTCTCTGTCCGTGTAGTGTTTCCCAGTGTTCCTATAGTCTCTGTCCCTGTAGTGTTTCCCAGTGTTCCT